CATATCAAGGAGAGGTGTACTTGGAATAAGGGTGGCATTGTCATATGTGGATGTTATTATTATAACTCTTATTATTATTACTAAATTGGAGTTAATAAATGTGAATCATCATTTCTTTGTGACCTGATGTATAGAAGATATTATTCCTATTTAGAAGTAATAATTTCGATGTTATTGAGAAGGGGAAAGTGGTTTGTCATATCAGGCAAGTTTTGCCTTAAATCTTTCTTGTTAAATGAATGGTATTTTAATTCAAAGAGTTTTTATACTGGGAAAGATCTTTGTTTAAAGATATTTTAAAGAAGTGAGATTTTTGGATATACTTCTTTATGCATGACATTGGGAACTGCATCATTTGTTATATTGCAGTATAATTCTAAACCAAGATAATATTATCATATTTTGGTGGTTGTCACCCTGCATTTGCAAATAGGGGATTTACTCACTAGACCCGTATGGTCTAACCCTCATTTTCTGTTTTAAATTATGCAATGCAGGAATAGCTGGGTCCGGGGATATWAAAGGGAAAGGGAAAATGTGATTATTTTCCTAATCTGTTTCTTGCTTTTGAAGATACATGTTGTATTACATGTAGTAGTACATGATTTGTTTTGGAAATTTTATATGTAGATTTTGTACATATAGCAATCCATGTACTAGTGGGACCTTTTGATGTAATCCATGTTTCTATGTAATGAAATATGTGTTTTATGCAAATGTGGAGTATGAGGGTGTTACATTTTATAAGCATAGCAAGTTTCCAAAGGGTATAGTTGTCAATAACCAAGTAAGTAAATCAAATTAAAACCCAAATTATAATAATAAAATATAGATCAAAATATGATTTAGAAATATTTAACTACAAATTTAAATAAAGTTCAAAGAATATTCGTGTAACAAAATATATAATATAATATAATATATTTTTAGATAAAAACATAAAATAACTATAATAAATAAAAAAGCTTCTTTAATATATTTTACTTTGGAAAATCTGTCTTCCTTAGTTCCTAATTTAAATTAATTTTAACTACTGTGTTATGATTTAATAATATTTGAAAACTAGAAATTTATTTAAGTTAATAAGAAAATATTTGAAAAAAATAAAAAATATAAAACAAAACTCAAGGCCGTTTATCAAAAACACTTGTATAATAATAATTGTTTACCGGCAAGTTTTAATGTTATTACTTGCTTATCGACTAAGATTTTTACTCCATCAAAACATCATTGTATGCAATAATTTGCCAGATAAACGTTAATCGGGTAAAAATCGTTAATATATCATTTATCAAGTAAGTATTTAATAAATTGTAATAACATTTCCGGGGAGTAAAACCACAAGACAGTTTTTATTTGTTATTTGGTATTATGAATGAAATGGTACATATAAAAATATGGTATTTTTATCTCTTTTTTGTTTTACCATATAATATATGATATAGGAAACAGTAAAAATAAAAAGGCTGAAAAAAGGGTTTACAATATTTGGTATTGGTAGATTGGAGACAAGTACCAATTTCAGAGCTACAATTTCGTATTTTTTTTTACCCCCAAATCAGTATCAAGATTGAAATTTCTAGGGTTTTATTGGATGTGGTGGAGCCTCCTTATGATCATCCTTCAATGCCGGTGTAAAATTTGAAATCCAAACCCCATATGCACTTTCTCTCTCTATATTTATACAATGTGTATCTATATTTGCCGGTAATTCCGGCGGCTGATCGACATAGTGACGATGGCGGACGGTGGTTCGAGGTAAATCCAATTTCTACCTCCCTCGATATATGCAGCTGATCCCAAAGTCATCCATCCTTCATGAATTCCTTATTCTATTGTAATAGAGTTCGAATTTTCTCTCTCTAACGCAACCATGGAATTTAAGTTCTCTCTCTCTCTAGAAAGTGGTGATTAATTAACTAATTTTAGGTCAATCCCCATTGATTAACCTTCTGTTCATAATTAATTACAAGAATTACAGCTGGGTAAACACTTCTCCATAAATGTATCTGCGTGTGTGAGAGAGAGAGAGAATTCTATTTCCGCGTTTAATTTCATATATATAATATATCCATCACACTTCACACATCGATATTCTGCCACTCTCCATTGCGTGTTTCAGTGTGTATCTACACATATACATACAAATATGTTACATATTATATATGTATATATCCTCTCTCTCTCTCTCTCCCTCCCTCCCTCCCTCTTAGTATATACTTCAAGTGAGTACTAGTAGCATTCACGAGTAAAGTTTCTCGTGATTGGGCCGATTCTCAAGCTTACTTATTATTCTCTTAAAATCAAACCAAAATTCTTTCCAATCGTTGTTGCTCGAGCTCTATATTAGTGAGTGGCAAGTGGATGTCTGTGTGACTCTGCGGATGAGGAAGACAGACGGACTAGTGGGGTGCTAGGAGAAGACAAAATAAGTGGGCGGGTGCAGTATGAAATGATGGAAGATTGCAGAATAACTTTCTGAATTTAGGGATTTTGGTTCAAGTTCCTGCATCTAATCAAGGTAATATTTTCTATTTTTAGTTTTTAATTTTTATTTTCTCTTGTTTTAATGGATTTGCCGCCCAAGATATTTGTTGAATCTGATGCTCTTTTTTAATTTGGGGTTTTGATGATCACTTTCATCTTATATGGTGTTCTGTTCTATGATGAAACTGAATTATACTTGGTGTCACTAAATTCTAATTGAACTGAAGTATTTATGGTTGATGGGTAAAGATATCGCTAATTTATTACAAAAAGATAATATGTGGTCTCTTTGGGTTTTATGGATCTAGTACAGTAATTATATTAGATGAACAGATCTTACACTGATTATATTTAGTTTATTAACAATAATTTCTTTTTTCTTATTGTTTTTTATATCTAGGGATTTCTTGGTGTTTATGTAACCTTTGTGTGCGTTTTGAATGTAGGAGAATGTCCCGGCCACTCCATCGAGGTGTTTCTGGTGGAGGGAGACTTTCAGGGAACATTCAAGATTTCTTGGAAGACTCTCAGATGAAAATTAAAGTTAAATCAGAAAAAGATGATTATGATAAGAGCCGATTGTCGCCTGATCATTTATCTTCATGGAATCCATTTAACTTCCTTTATTCGATTAATTCATCATCCAAGCAAGGTGTTTCTGAGAATGGATTTGTTGTTCCTGCTCCATTCAGCCCTGTAACTTCAAGGAAACGCTATAAACTGACTTTATTTTTGCTCAAATTCAGTTTATTTGTGATAGTAATCCTTGCCCTTACTGGGTCTTTTTGGTGGACAATCTCTCTCACAACTGCCTCTAGAGGTCACATGTTTCGTGGTTATAGGAGGCTTCAAGAACAGCTTGTGTCAGACTTGTGGGATATCGGAGAGCTCTCACTTGGTGCTGCTAGGATGAAAGAACCAGAGTTCTGTTCTCTTGAGTCCGAAAACCACGTACCCTGCTTCAATATTACTGAAAATCTTCAGTTGGGCTTCACCAAAGGACAAGAACATGACCGATATTGCGGGCCTACATCAAAGCAGAATTGTTTGGTTCTTGCTCCTCTTCGATACAAGATTCCTCATAGATGGCCTACTGGAAGGGATGTTATTTGGATTGACAATGTTAAAATTAACGCACAACAAGTACTCTCTTCTGGAAGTTTGACAAAGAGGTGGGTTCAAAATTTCTCTGCTAGTTGAAACATTAGAGATATGACAAAGACTATCGAGTCAATTGCTTATTACCTGTTAATTGTTGATGTGCCTACAGGATGATGTTGTTAGATGAAGACCAGATCTCATTTAGTTTTGCATCTTCTATGATTGATGATAATATTGAAGACTACTCTCATCAGATTGCTGAAATGATTGGTGTAAGAAATGAATCTTACCTTGTACAAGCTGGGGTAAGAGAAATATACCTTCTTGAATCAGCGGTCTATATTTGGCTTGTGTCTTTATACCTTCTAAGGTTTTACCTTCACATTATAACAGTTTATTATATATTTGGTTGCTAAATCAAATATTGAATTGGGACTGATTTAGAAATTAGTATGATATTTTCTTGTTGACAAATTTCCTTAAATATAGATGTTTTTAATTGTGGTGAAGAGCATGATTTAGTTACTTTTCTTCGTTATCTTTTCCAGGTGAGAACCATATTGGATATAGGTTGTGGTTTTGGTAGCTTAGGAGCACATCTCTTTACGAAACAACTTTTGACAATGTGTATAGCAAACTATGAAGCTTCAGGGAGTCAAGTTGAGATAACTCTTGAAAGGGGTCTTCCTGCAATGGTTGCTTCTTTGACTTCAAAAAGATTGCCATTTCCATCACTTTCCTTCGACATGGTACACAGTGCGTGGGATGGGATTGACTGGAATCATAAAGGTACCAGTTTGTTATCTAACTTCACAATTATCTTTAGGTCTAATTCGTTTTTGTCATTTAACACTTCAATTTGGTGTATCCCACTTATGTGGTGTGAGGAGAATAAAAAAAATATTGTAAGTCCTATTTATTTGATAGGATGATAAATGGAAAAAAGTTACTTATCTTATTACTTCTTAGTTATAGGTTTAAAACATTGGTAAAATTCTTTGCTTTTTTACCGAACATTTGAAATAGTCTTTGTCAAACATCTTAATTTTCGACAATAGTGAAGTCATCGGTCTCTATGAACAATGGATTATCAAGATCAGAGAGGTTCTTGAAATTCCTGATTTTTAACGGTTAGACATAGTTAGATTTCCAATGTACCAAGACCAACCTAAAAGAGGATACATATTCATAGTTGCTATTCTTACGCTTGCATTAAATGTTGGCATAATGCATAATAAATACATTCATCTTATCACAAAACAACCAATTTCGCCTCTTGTTGCTTGGTTTTCTTGGCTTGTTTGCTCTTACTGAATAAGTCACGTTTTGTGTCATTTGCCAGACGGTATACATCTGATTGAGGTTGATCGAGTTCTTAGGCCTGGAGGCTACTTTGTTTGGACCTCACCAATTGCCAACACGCCAGCTTCCGCTCGAAACAAAGATAACCTAAAAAGATGGGATTTTGTGCGTAATTTCGCGAAAGATCTCTGCTGGGATTTGTTATCACAACAAGATAAGACAGTTGTATGGAAGAAACCTAGCAATAAAGATTGTTATGCTTCTAGGTAAGACTGTTCATACAAACAACTTTTACCCTTCTGTCCTTCAAATTTAGTTGTGATTTAACTTTTATTGCTAGCATGACATGGGCATATCGATTTCTTGGTACCATTTGTGGGTCCCTCTCTTTATTTCTTCTCGAATCAAGTAAATGGGATGAGATTCACATCTTGGTTTCTCCACATACCATATAAATGGGACTTCCAAAAAATTAAAATGTTAAATAGCCAAAACAAGTATTTGAGCTATAACTATGTTTGGCAAACTAGCTTATCAGCTCACTATTGGCTGAAAAACTAGCTGTTGACTTAGTTGATAAGTCTGGTAATAAATTAGTCATCGTCATGTTTGATAAAAACTAACTGATATTGATAAGCTAGATGACAATGTAAAATGATCTAAAATGACAGTTTGAAAAGTTAATTGGTAGCATATAAGGGGCATAATTGGGAAAAAAGCGGAAACAAGCCCTTTTAGCATATCTCAAGTAGTGTTTCAAAAAGTTTTAATTGGAAAACGTAAAGGGCATAATCAGAAAAGAAGTGGGAAAAATGAAGTAGCATTTAAAAAAGCTAGCTTATGGCTTAAACGGGACTTTTGCAATAAGCTCAAAAAATAAGCTAGCTTATGGTTGCCAAACATGACCTAGGAGTTGTGAATGATCTTAATCTCGTTATCAACTACTTCAATTGGTAGGAAGCATGGAATTGGCCCGTTGGTCTGCAAAGAGGGCCGTGATGTTGAATCCCCGTATTATCATCCACCCGAGCCATGCATCGGAGGAACTCACAGCCGGCGTTGGATTCCAATTGAGAAAAGACCAACATGGCCTTCTAGAGTCACATTGAGCTCCAAGGAACTCGAGGTTCATGGTAATTCGTCACTTGTGATGAATCATAATTTTGGCTGCTGCTATTTTATAAAATCTATTGCATTTATGCAACTAAAAAGGAACATTAGTCAAAGAAAATGAGAAAATTGTGACCTTATTTTCTCCTATGATTTATCAGGCATGCTCTCTGATGATCTTGTTGAAGATGATCTTAACTGGAAGTCAGCACTCCGAAACTACTGGTCTCTACTCTCTCCGCTTATATTTTCGGATCATCCAAAGAGACCTGGTATTGAGGACCCTTCTCCACCTTATAACATGGTCAGAAACGTCTTGGATATGAACGCTCATTTTGGTGGCTTTAATTCCGCGTTACTCGAAGCTGGGAAATCCGTATGGGTCATGAATGTGGTTCCTACCAGTGGGCCAAACCACCTTCCGCTTATCCTAGACCGTGGGTTTCTTGGCGTGTTGCATGACTGGTATATACTAGTTTTTCTGATTTAACGATTTTAATTTGTTCTTGTTTATTTTCGACATATATATATAGGGAAGGGTTCAAAGAGAACACCACTGTTTTACGAAAATGCGAGAACACTCCTGAGCCTTCAAATTAATTAACATATAATAAAAATTAGAATAAATCAAAATTTATTAGTATTTATGCATAATATCTGTTATCTTAGATTTATCCTTATCTCTTTAATTTTGTTATTATCATCAAAGACTTTTTACGTGCGTCCGTTGTCGATAATGATGTGATAATACTGTGATAATTATGTATTTTTGCCATGATATGTGATAATGATTTGATAAGTTGAAGACTTTTTTATGATGTGATAATCATCTAATAATTATGGGATTTTTGTTGTGATAGTGATGTGATAATGTTGTGATAATCGAAAACTAGCGGCGATCGCGCCTACATTCATCGCTCTTTCTAGTTCATTGTGTGATTTTGCTGTGATAATTATTTGATACATGTTAACATATTATCTCTATGTGATTTTAGAGATAAGGATGTCACCGAAATTACGGATAAATACGAAATCACATGATTATCCTTGATTGTTTAGTTTATTTTCTTTTAATTTTAATTATGGGTTAAATAGCTTGGAGGCCCATAATTGTTCTTGCATTCTTGTAAAACAGGGGTATTCTCATTTGAACCTCTACCTATATATATATTTGCAAATTGAGGGGAAAGTTCATTTAGGACCCGTAAATATTTGTGAGAACTGTGAAAACCAACTACTATTCGTTAACTATTCATGATGAATATTCGTAAATATTCATGACTATCTATCACGATATTCATCATGAATATGATGAATATTCCTGAAGAATAATTCATCATAATGCTTACTTTAGCATGTGATTGCAACTTGTAGGTGTGAAGCATTTCCAACCTATCCTAGAACTTATGATCTGGTTCATGCCGAAGGCTTTCTATCACTTGAAACTGTAAAGCAGCGTCGTTGCAGCTTGCTGGATGTATTCTTTGAGATAGACCGGATACTCCGCCCAGAGGTATCATATGATTAATGGTCAATAAAACATTTTTCACAATTCAATATTTTTATTTTTTTTATTAATGAAGTAGCTCATTGATGCCTATTACATAAGCAACTGCTACATTCTGCTCAAATAATATTTTGGATTAGTGCTACATCACTTTCAACTAATTTTTTTTTATAACCATGTGTATCTGGGTCATCTTATCTGCATCTTGACTAATCTAATGGGCCCTGGAGTTAATAGTGATGACCCTAATTGGACTTGAACCGCTGACCACTGGGGAGCAAACCCGAAGTTTGACTGGCTGAGCTACTCTTAAGGGTTAACTATGTTATTTTGCCAACAAAATATGTCCATCCCCATATGGCAAAGGTGTGAATTGGCTTAAATTCAATTATTTGTGCAAAAGGGTTTGTAACCAGCAACCCCCTAGCTGGCCCACACCATCCTGCCCCAAGAGCATCATGTGAAAGACAAATCAGGCATATAGCAGCTTGTTTGATGGCTGATTAAGAGTCCAGTGCCAACAACGAGCCCAATCCCCAAAGGGATTGTAACTCTCACACTGTGGCCGCCATACTAGAACCCTGGCCTGTTTATGCAAAGTATATCACCATGGAACCAACTGTGTATATATATATATATATAGAGAGAGAGAGAGAGAGAGAGAGAGAGAGAGAGAATGCTAACTATATAAGAGAACACGAAAACGGCCAAATCACGTGCCAAATCACATGTGATTTTACGTTAATGGCCAGAAAGAAGGGGTCAGAGTGACTTTGGCCTCGTCTTCATGTCGCGGGGGAAAGTCACGTGAATCACATATGATTTTATACGTGATTTGACCGTATTCTTATTCTCTTATTTAGTTATTGTTCTCGTATGAACTTGATTCTCTCTCTCTCAATATATATATATATATATATATATATATATATATATAAATGAACAATGAAGATAATTTATTGATTCAGTTTTAGAGCTGTATGTGTATTGCATCCGTTATCCGTACTACATAACTGTGAAAAATCCTAAACTCTTAGAAAAATAATTTTCAGGGTTGGCTGATACTACGCGACACAGCTTCTCTAATTGAAACAGCAAGAACGATCACTGCAAGATTAAGATGGGAAGCACGAGTTGTAGAAATCGAAAGCAACAGCGATGAAAAACTCCTCGTTTGCCAGAAACCATTCATGAGGAGACGATCAAAGCCGTCCTGAACAGGTGTCCATTTTTCTTGATCTTGAAACATTTTATCATCGATCTTAGAATACAAAAGAGAAAGAGGGTTCAGCTGAAAACTACAGTAAGGACCAAAAGCAAATTCCTGTGGAGGCCGTAAGGCATACGTGGGACCAATGTAATTACACGACGATTATAGGTGGGGCTCGCCAATTTTACACTTTTTTCGTTCGTTTGTTGTTGTCGTCATAAACTATAGAAAAAAGATGATGAACTGGTTATAGAAATAAGCAGAAAAGTTGGCATTGATGTTAAATATATACAAAAGCTTTGGTGGTGTCGTGTTCATGTTCTTGACCATATTTGCACTTTCAAGATTCACTTTGTACTTTGTATCATCTTTCTGCTAGGAATCAAGACTCTTTGCAAGAAATTAGATATAAATGTCCCTTTATATCTTTATTTTATATTATTATCTAATTTATCAGTTAGGCTTTATCAGCATGACTAGTTTATTAGTTAACTTAATAATTAACAGGTAGTTAAATTAGTGAAAGAGCTAATTATTAACTAGTTTGCCAAATATGGCCTTGGTGCCTAGATTTGAGAGGTCCTGAACCTGCTCGAAAACGTTCTTAAAAATGCTAGATCCTCCTAGGTTTGGTTAGGCTAGCCGGTTATGTCGATCCTAAAATTTTAATGAAACCATGTAATGCCAGGGAACAATTAAACCCCGACTCCCATTGAAGCCTGAGTATATCCAATTTCAAGCTCGATCATAAGCTCGGTCATGTTTACGTGTAAATTGTGGGATTCTATTACATCCTTGTTATTAGAATCTCCAACCCAACTACTAGAAATAAAACACTAAAAATATGGGTCCATTAAACACTAAAAAAATCAACTTCAACCACACGAAAAAACATTTTTAATATTTTAATAATAATAATAATAATAATAATAATAATAATAATAATAATAATAATAAAAGCTTATATTACTTAATATATTAAATTATTAATCAATATATAATAATAGGTATTATATTAATATTTTATTTACAGAAGCCACTTTTTTTACCTTCAAATATATAGGCCAAGTTTGGAGACCTCTATTTTTGGTGTTTTAATGTTGGGTTGGAGATGATAACACCTTCATTTTGGTGTTTTTAGTGTTGAGTTTGAGAGGAGAAAGATCGTATGAGAAAGAGTGTTAAGATGAGAAACATAAGAAGTGATCTGGACCTTTGATCACCTTTAAACTAAAACTCATGCATGAATCGTGCTTGATATAGGGATTAATCCGGTGTATTTCATCCTAATGTGCATTCAAAGGTGGAAATTCCTTATTATGCATCTCACATTAACTTTATTTCTCATCGGAACCCAACCCAGATTAGAGATGTCCTTAAATGTGCTTGGAGATGATGATAGCATCATTGTTTGTTATAATTTCTTTAGACGAAAAAGTAAATCTTTAAGAATTAGTACATTTAATTCTAATTCAAACGGTATTTTCAATAAAAAAAAATCCAATGAGAACCCTCAAAGAAGAAAAAACCAGATAACTCATCCAAACATTACCTTGAAATAATCCAATAGACATGGCAAAAAAAAAAAATATGGTGATTAACGCATTTAGTATGTACAGAGAGAGATGAACGATCAAATATAAATCATCTCAATTATATAAACTTTACAAACAAATTACAATCAATCACATAAATCCATTTGTTTTTTTTTTTAATTTATAAGGGTATTATGGTCATTTGAATTTACAATAGTTATGTTTGGTAATTATAAAATATTGATAGATAAGTTTGATAACAATATAATATTTATATAAATATGGATGATATATTGATTAACACAATATTAGCAAAGATTTAATTGAGACATTCATTAAATTTAAAAAAAAAATCGACACATTTTAAAAAATGTATAATAATTTTGTTTAGAAAAATCAACAATAATTTCCAATGAAATATACTTAAAATGTTCTATGAAACAGAGTATTTTCCAAAGAAACAAGCTCAAACTGTTCAATGAAACATGGTCATATATGATTGCATCAGGTTCATATGTATAACAGTTGTAATGAAACAAATTTATATTCATATGTATGTATAACAGTTTGTAATGAAACAAGTTCATAGATCATATATGATTGCATCAGGTTCATATGCATAACAATTCTAATGAAACAGGTTCATATGCATAACAGCTCTAATGAAACAAGTTCATAGAACACATTTTCCCCGTTTTTCCTTTCCGTGTCTCCAATATGAATTCTTTTTTTTTCTTTTTTTTTTACTTTACTTATTTATTTTGTTTCAATCTTGGTCTTACATAAAAAAAAGGATGAATATGATTAGTTTGTAAGGTTTATATGAAATAGATGGTTTGCAAAGTAAATTTACTTTGCAAACCACGTTATATGCACAAACCTCATTCAATCAATCTAATTTTTCATTTTGATTTGATCGTTTCTCTCTCTCTCTCTCTCTCTCTCTCTCTATATATATATATATATAGAGAGAGAGAGAGAGAGGAAAAAAAAGAGTTTGTTTCAAATACAACATGTTGTATTTGTACAACCAATACAACCCAATAAATTGAGATAATAAATTGGTCATGAGTTGTATAATAACCAACCCCTTTCTCTCTCTCTCTCTCTCTCTCTCTCTCTCTCTCCCTATATATATATATATATAGGTTGGGTTCACGTGAGACCAAGGGTTTTTCGTGAGACCCGTAAGATCAATTTATGTTCATTGATCAACTTTATAAGCTATTGATCTAATGGTCTAAAGTTGCACGGTGGCAATTTTGTAATCATTGAGAAGTCTCGTGGCGTTTATGAATGTTCAGATTTGACGATTGTAAATCTAATCCAAGGGTTGAGAATTGGTCTTACGGGTCTCACGAAAAACCTTTGGTCTCACATAATTCCAAGTCTATATATATATATATATATATATATATATATATATATATATATAGGGGTGATAATAGGTCAAGTTGGGTTGGGTTCGGGTTCAACCCATTTATTAAACAGATTGAAAATCTCAACCTAACCCAACCCATTTAATTAAATGGGTTGAGATTTTTCAACCCAACCCAACATGTTACCTAAATGGTTGACAGTGGGTTGATCTGTTTACGATTTTCTTAACCCAAACTGTTAAATAAATGAGTTGAATCTGAGTTGACCCATTTAATTAAAATTTTAAATAAAAAAAAGGATTCGACTATTTAATTTTTTTTTTTGAATAAAAGACAACACAACCACAAATACAAACAAGTTGTTCAAAGTTTGAATAAAACACAAGCACAACGAATATATTATTCAAAATTAATTGAAAAAATTAAATTCTAAGTAACTCAACTTCATTATTGAATTTATAAAGAGAAAATGTTTTTATGTTTTTATTTGGTTTGGTTTTTATGTTGCATTCAATAATGACATACAAATAATAAAAAATTAAACATTCATTTATATAAATGATGGTTAAAAAAGCAATAAAAAGAAACAGGAAAAAAATTAATTAATAAATTATATTAATTCAATTGTAATACAAATATTTAAGTAAAAAAAATAATAAAAGAATAAGACAAAAAAAATGACTATAATAGGGTTATGAGTGTCAATAGCCTCCCATCTTGACTTAAATTGTAAATGTAAAAAGTAATTTTTGATATAAATGTGTGTAAGGAGAAAATTAGTAGGTAAGGATACAGCAATATATAGAAACTAATGTTTGACATCGCGTGTGTTGCACGATGGCAATATTTTTTTTAAAATTATTGAAGTTAGCTAAATGAGTCGATGATCACATTTATATATTAAATTAATAAAAATCAATATTATCTTTGGCATATGAATCCACCCACATCATTTCAATCATCCATATATTTTATACGAATTTTACAAAACAACAGATTAATCTCGAATACAGTGCCAACAACCCTGAAAACACACTGTTTCGAGCCATTTAAAGTCATAATTGGTTTTTCGACCCTTCATTAAACTTGTAATATACAATAAGGGATTTCTAACTGCAAAATACGAGCTTATTCTGACTTACATTTTTTGAGTTATACACTATCAAAGTATGGGAGCTACATTGTCGGTAAAATCCGATTCGCAATTTCCCAACCAACTTTTTTGATCTCAACTTCGCATATTCAATCAAACGGGTAATTTTATCCTCGTCTACGGATCCCATACTACCCCCCATAAACTGAAAATCGATAACCCCAATTGCTACGGTAATACCGTTTAGTTGCCCTATGTCTGTCTGAACAGCCTCGGTTAATCATGTCTTTCTTATTATGTTGTACTAAAAAATGATTGAAACTCGTGTGTTTGGTCATTTAGGAAATATTTTTTTTATAAATAATATATATACAGAGTGTCATGTAAATAATATAATCGACAATAATCATAAGTTATTATAAGCGTTATCTTCATTTTATTAAACTATATTAATTATAACCAATTTATTATTATTTAGATACATATATAAATATACATATTATTATATTCAAGTGTCATGTAAATAGAATTATACATATTAATCGTAATTTCATTTATATAAGTGGGTTTTTAAATACTAGAAGCGTACTCTCGCAATGCAGCGAGATATATCGTGATTTTAATATTTCATTTTATTCTTTATCTCAGTTGATGTTATAAT